GTGCTCTGTGAAGCCTTTAGTAGCAGAAAGTGAAAATTGTAGCTGAATAAATATAATATTACTCCTCTTAAGTGTTTGATGATGTGCTCAGCTGGAATAGCCATCCATAAGGCAAGTGTTAAAGCAGCGTTTGATAACTAGAAGGCATAAATGCAACAGAAACCCCACAGACTGCATGTAAAGAATGATCATAGCAATCCAGGCATCATCCACTGGTTTCTGGATCTTTGAGTTTTGAAGCCTTTTGATCGTCGCCATCCTACTGTTTTGAATCTTAAGTGAGAGCTGGATCTGACTGGGAACTCGAGGACACTGAAGTTGGTGTGGCAGTGACCTGTCAAACACAAGGTGGCCTCTCCCTAAAACACTACTACTACTACTTTATCATCTGTTTTACTCGAAAACAGATTTATGGTTGCGCCAGAATTTCGTTTTGTGCATTTTTTATTTTTGAATTGTGCTTGAATGACAATTAAGTTATCTATCTATCTAAATGGGACCATAATTTACAAAATCAACACCATGCTGAATTCAAGAAGTCTTAAAACTAGCGATTGAAGCCATAAATTCAGTAGGAAAACATTTACTCATTTAACGAATCAAATGAGAAGTAGCATCATTTTGTCATAGACTTGTACACAGTCAGACTTTTTTTTTTTGCAGCCAAATGAGTCGCCCCCTACTGGCTGTAAGACAGAATGCATGTTAAAGCAATTTCAGAACCAGAGGCTGTGTCCAACTTTAACACACTCACAGTTAACGCAGCCTTATTACACCATTGATCTGACTTAATTAAGTCAGTCCGGTTTTCACTGACCTGTAGGCCTCAGCAGCTTCTGAGGTAAACTGCAGCTCTTCGGCTGCATCATGCTGAATTTTCTCCATCCGTGTCTCTTCACAGTGAGAACATCTGAGCCCAAAAACAGTTTGTTTAAAGTAGGCTGAAAGCTCCAAAAATGCTTGAATTCCCGGTGGATCTAGCACAACGATTGACCCTTCCAGATGGCACAATACAGACATTTGGTTCACTGTTAAGCATATTGCTTAACGGAGCTTCATTATTTACTCATATTTAGCCAGAGTTTTCTCTTAGCTGCTTAAGGTCAAAAGCAAAAGTAATGATAAAATAAAAAACAGGGAGAAGGGAGAACGTTTCACAATAAGATTGTTTAGCACGTTTGCTGCTGCGTTAATTCCAGTATAGGCTTAGAGCCTTAAAGCCTACCAGAATTGGCAGAAGACCTAGTTTTTCAGATTTCTAGAAAAGTCCGCTCTCTGGAGCCATGGAAATATGTGGAGGCTTAACAGTCAATTCCACGTGGATTACTTAGTGCAGTATGTACCACAGCGTTACGATTTTGACAGTCATTTGACTTAAGTTGTCAAGAGAGATGCCAGTAACACGACGGGCAGGGAGAAAAGTCTGGCAGAGTGGAAGAGTGTGTGTTTGTGTGCATTTCTCTTGTCGCGCTCTGAAGCAGTTCTCAATCACGTCTCTGATGACCTTACTACTTAAATGTGGCATTGGTCCATGCTATGCACTTGTCCCTTTTAAATATAAACATTAAAATAAATTCATGTCCCATTAGTAGTGGGGATCAAGAGAAAAAGCCTATAGGCAGTACACGGGGTGGTCCAAAATCGTGAGGAGGAAGATAATAGAGCCGTCACTGGACATGCTTTTATTGGAGTAGACTGTCCCATGAGCGCTGCCAACTACTAACTCGATTTCAGTCATGTATTATGTGCACCAATAACACTGGTAAAGTTGGGGAAAGTCAAGTGCGTTGTGATGAAGTTACAAAACAATAACCAGTTATACCTAAGCATTTGTTTCAGCGCACATTTAAACACTTTGTTGCCTCTTCTTATTTAAAAAAAGGGATTTAAAGTACAAATTAATAAAAGGTAAAAATCAACAGTAATTCATTCATGCAGCACATGTGATAGCTTAGCACAATTTGCACAGAAGCACTCATGTAATTGAGTAATACAGGAAAAATGCTCAGCTTCAGCTCTACCTGACCCGCTGCAGCGAGGAGGGACTGCACACAACTCAATGATAGCCATCACTGTGTCACTTTGACTTTTGAAAGGGAAGAATTCAGCACAAGCGCATGAGAAATCTTTGAGGATTGGTGTGAATCTGTGTGGATTGGCTGTCTGCACTGAAAACTCTCCAGGGAGCAGCTGAACATTGTGCAACGTCTTCTGCTTGTCAGCCTGACTGCCACTCTGCAGTTAAGAAGAATTCTGCCTGAAATCATTCTTAACACTAATGCGCACACAATCCGTGAAATCTAAACGATTATATCTTCAGTACAGAACTGGAAGAGTAAGGTTGCCGATGTGATGCGACCACCAACGCAGCTCTTCAGGCAGGTGGGGTCAGTCCTCAGAGATCGTGCTGCTGACTTTGGTTGAGTAGGGCTAGTGTCTGTTTGTGAATTAGAAATCAGTCGGGTATCATGTCCCTGTTGCTGCAATAAAGGCATCATCTTTCACCGTTTTTCAACAAGTTAATGAAAGTCTCACATGTTCTTAGAATAGGTTTTTCAATTTTCCAGCTCAAAGTATTGCAAACGTGGTTCATTTCAGAGCTGCAAGGTGGCTCGGTGGTTAGCATCGTTTCCTGGCAGCAAGATGGTCGCCGGTTCGCGTCCCGGTGAGGACACCCGGGATCTTTCTGCCTGGAGTTTGCATGTTCTCCCCGTGCAGCGTGGGTTCTCTCCGGGTTCTCTGGCTTCCTCCCACACAGTCCAAAAACATGCTGAGGTTAATTGGTGATTCTAAATTGTCCGTAGGTGTGAATGTGAGTGTGCTTGGTTGTCTGTCTCTAAGTGTAGCCCTGTGATAGACTGGTGACCTGTCCAGGGTGTCTCCTGCCTTCACCCTGAGTCAGCTGGGATAGACTCCAGCCCCCTGTGACCCTCGTGAGGATTAAGCGGTGTATAGATCATGGATGGATGGATAATTTAGCAAATTTTTGTTTATTATTACTTTTTTCAGTTTCGAGTTATTTGAGTGACTATTGTGAATTTTACCTTTTCTTTAATGGAAGGTTATGAAGGAATTTGAAGACAAGTGTAGCTGTAAAATTACTCATTCCATTGTTTCAGAACAGAAAAATATGTAATAAAACAGCTCTGTTGGGAATTTGGCTGTATTTAAGTGCACTATGTATGAGCACAGAGAGTACAAGAGAAGCAAACAGATGTAAACACTGGCTGAGTTTAAGTTGCGCTGAAGCAACACAAACAGCATGAAAACATAGCAACCCACTCAGTCCTGGTTTTTTAGTTTCAAATCAGTCAATCTTCACTGTTACAGTATCCACAAAGCTCTGACCTGTGAGCATATATTCAAAGCTAATTGTAGCGTCATTAACATGCTGCTTACACCAAGGATTTTCCATTAGTTGCCAGTGCAAGTAGTAAAAGTAATCCACAAAGTTTTCAGATGCTGGGAGTGCATGAGGACTGCTGTGTTCACTCTTGCAGCCAGCAGCAGAACACTTGGTGTGTCTAGTTTGTCGTGGAGAAATTTTTGAGTTAGCAGAAGCAGCTCTACAAAGCATATAAAGCTGATGGACTGAGAGGCAGCTGCTAATTCTGACTTTCTCACCTCAGAGGCAGTCAGGCAGAGGATGAAGAATTATAACAACTAAACTGGTTGCTCAAAATCTGCGTATCAACCGGATAAAATTCTTACTGGCTTGTAAAGCGGGGAGGCGATCTCGCTGAGGGAGGGGGCTGGAGGAATGGCAGGAGGAAGTGTCTTCATATCCTCACAGCTTTTATTTTACAAGACATATAAAACGCAATAAAGAATTTTCATCATATGGGATCTTTAGCTCCCACTGATCCGAGGCTTCCGGTGAACCTCCTCGCTGACATGTGAGAGCTGCCTTCATGCTTTGGGATTGGAAGATGAAAAAAAAACAAAGATTTTGAAAAACACAAGATTTTGTTATAAATAAACATGTTGCTGCTGACAGACTCGCTTACATGTTCCTGCGTAACCAGACTGTGTTATATTTAGTTTCACAGCAGTTAATTCCTCAAAATGTTTATTGCCATCAGTTGTCACCACTTGTCATTTTCACTGTCGTTGAAATCCCCTGCTCTTTTTGATTTATAAAGCACTTTCAGCTGCATTTTATGTACAAATGCTTCTATAAATATAGTTCATTATTATCAACAATAGACACACTGTCAGCAGCTGCATCGTCTTTAAACATGTAAACAAGAGACCAGAGGAAATGTTTCAGATACAATCATTTATACTTTTTGGTCATAAATAGAATGATGTGCTTTCTTTGCCATGTTTTTCATCCATTGTTTGAGCTGTTGTCTTTTTTTCCCCCTTCACAATGCATCGTAAACAGCACAAACGGCAATAAAAGAAAGTCGAACAGTGACCGGCTATGCATGCAGTGGTGATTAGTTTGTAATGAGGTGGCACATTGTCGGCCCTAATCTCAGTATATTACATTCTGTTCAGAAGGATTGGGTTTGGATAGCACATGTGCCCTCGCTGTCACAAGGTCTTAAAGTGAGGTATCTGTTAATCAGAGTGATTGTCCTGCCTGAGCTATTTCTGGCTGCGTGAGCAGAGGAGCTCGCCTCCAGTGAAATACAGTAGATTAGCTTGAATTTCACGACGCTGTCCACTGTTGGTGTTTGTTTTCTGACCCTTTGCTGCGCGTTTTGAACTTTTCCTCCTTTCTCTGTGGTGCTGCAGAGTTTTTAAATTTGAATGTTTTGCATCAATAATTAATTTTTTTTATTTTTTATGACCGTAGTTATGAACTCAATGCGATGCTGCACTTAAGAGGTTTAGCTCCTCGAGCCAAAAAGAAACACTTCTCCTTGTAATATCCTGCAAGAAGCTTTATAGAAAAACAAGATGATCACGTAAGCTCAGATTTAGAAGCTTTAAAACGTAATGTTTGCTGACATCTTCATTTAATATCCCTATCCTCCCTCTTTTCCACCCAGGCGTGCCTCTGTCCACTCAGTGGGGTCCTCAGGGCTACTTCTACGCCATCCAGATCGCCCAGTACGGCCTGAGCCACTACAGCAAGAACCTGACTGAGCGCGCTCCCCACGTGGAGGTCTACGACACCGCAGAGGAGAGGGACAGCCGGGCCAACACGGCGCCCTGGAGTGTGCCCAAAGGTTGCGGTCTCAGCCGTGTCCACGACAAGACCAGAGCTACCTCCGTGCGTCAGTTCAGTGCTCCAGGTATGTAAAGCCTTCCAATAGCCCAGATGGCCTCGGGGCAAGTAGCTTATCTCCTGTTAACTGTGGCTGTAGCAGGCTCGATATGCAGCTACACCCCCAGGACAGGATGATAGTCTGCAGTCAGACAACCGCCACAGAATACTGGCAGAGAAAACCGTCTTGGTTGACAGCAGATCCGCCGCAATATGACAATCCTAGAAATTGTGATGATTAAAGAACCAGCAGACAAAACATCGCATTGTAAAAATTCCATCTTATGCTACAGACAGACAGACAGACCTCCAGTTGACACTATTTTCACTACTCTTTTACTTTTTTTTAGCCTGAACAAGAATATCAGTCAACTGTCGTCTCCAGATGTTATCAGCCACAGACAATTAACCTTAATTATCTTCGTTGGTCAAAGACAAAATAAACCTCTCAGCTATGTGTGGGTTGGTGTGCTTCGTGCTTGTTCCATGTCTCACACAACATCACAAATATATACTTCTACGATTTAAAAAGATAGACTAGTTTCCTGGTTGTTATTTGAGTAAATACTGGATTTATTTTTGGACTATTTTCAGCAGCCGATTAATACACATTAGGAGGCCTAGTGAGTATTTATATTGATTTCCAGAAGGAGATGGAGATTAGCTCCGTATTCTCTATAACAGGCTATGAATAGAGAGCATACATTTATTGTCACTGCTGGTGTTTTCATTGCATTTGTCGACAAACAAAAGTGTATTCATTATTGTGACATTTTAAGCAAATCAACGTAATAGTTTTGGGTCTGATTCTCCTGGAATCCACGCTGTGTTGGCTCAATCGGCTATAGGTGGAAGTTAGTCTTTGTTAATGATCATTAAATAGCTTTAAATTATCAGAAGGGATGTATTAATAATTTTAACACTGTTACCAGAGGTTTGCTGTATTCACCCCGTTTAAAATGTATTTCTGTAATATGAAAGCGTCTGATTTGTCGGGCTACATCCACAAGACTATGTTCTCATTTTAAAACTTCTGCCATAGTTTCCCTACACTATTCTGGAGTTTTAAGATTCCTAAAATTGTGTTTTTTGGAAACCCTGCTCACCCTGTTTTAGTTTGAAAACTTATCATCTGAACGAACGAGGCTCTTCCCTATTTCATCTCCCTCTTATCTCATTTTCTAGATGAAAACAAAGACATACGCCTCGACTACTACTGGTTAACTCAATATAGATGCTGCGTCATGCTACAGGCATTGCTGTTGTCTCTGCTAGCAGCTGTTACGGAAATCTCTGGTCTTACTTTTCACCGTTGCTGTTCCTCCTTCGTAGTATTTTCTACATCCAGACAGCCAACCTCCTGCTTCATGTTTGCACCAACACGTGCCCTTTCAGGCGCATGCACAAGAGATTCTCTGAAACAGACCTGAGCGGTTTGTCTCGACGAATATCGTTACAGTTTTAAAACCGGCATTTTAAACCGTATTAGTGGGTGTAGAATCAGGCACTAACTTAATAAAAAGGTCACTGAAAACCTTTTGCTTTATTTTGACGTAAAAGGTTTCAGGGAGATTTGAGCATTGCAGTGAGAACTTTAAAAGTCCTTACACGCTGATGAATATTACATAAATATAACCATTTCTCCGTAAGCGTGAAGTTAATAGGCCTTCAGAAAACGGGGAGTTTCATTACTTGTAATAAAACTGACTGAAGAATGGGACCGTCCTTGGTGCCATTTTGCACAGTTTCAACTCAGAGGAATCGAATTTAATTCAGCTCACTCACTTTGTATCCAAGGCTCATATGGAAGTGAGGACACTGTGCTCCAGCCTCCCTCCGACTGTATAGTCATTTATTGTGCGCAGCCGTCTCCCCTATGCATCTAAAAATTGATCTGTAAAGACGAAAAATATGAAAAAAAAATAAACCGTCTCCTTATTCGTTCTTTTTATTACAGAATCGTGTTCAGGGCTGCAGTATGTGGCGGGGATGACACGGCCTGATACAGACACTGAGGAGTTTAATTCTCCCTGATTTAGAAGAGATATAGCACAGTTTAGGGGGCTGATTATCCAAGAACCGCTGCATTGTAGCCCTTGAATGACTACAAACTTTTAGATCAAAAGAATTTCAAATCAGTTTAGATTTGTAGTAACTTACATCATAAAGCGTCGTAATGGGCTGTTCTATCCAGTTTAAATCTGTGACCACTGGTTTCATCAGCTATAATAACCGTCGCTGCCAAATTCACTCTGCTGTTGTCAATTAAAGTTAATTCTGTGAGTTGGCAAAACAACAAAAAGAAACTTGGCTGCTGCCTGATTAATATGCTCACTCTCTGCATGCCCTTGTTTAGAGATTCATGCTCGGACTTGGATTGTTGTGGTGGAAGGAGAAGAAACAGCACTCTGTGTAATTTTTGCTGGATCATTGCTTCACGTCAGTGCAGGTAGCTTCATTCACAACGCTATACAACAACAGGACTGTTACCTGGATTCACGTCTTGTGTTGAACTATTATTCTTCATTTTCATTTCTTGTTTGCTTTCAGTTCTCACTCGTTGTTTGATTCGATTTAACCTCCACAAGTACATAGTTATGTTTAGGAAAATATCACAATTTGGCGTTAAATGTGACCGTTTCACAACATGTTTGAAGCTTCTCCTCCATCTTGGAGTGCCACCCAGTAACTGACTATAAATAAATGGCTTGGCAGTGTTGATTTTATATGTGTTTGCAAACAAACATAAGCCAGAAAATACATAATTAAGAATGCAGTTTAGTCGTATGGGAACAGCTGGCGGACACAGATGATGCAGTTAAACCATTACGGTTATCACTTTAAAAATAAATACCCTGTGAATGTGTGAAAAATTAATCCGTTGTTCTGTCTGAAACCAGGCGAGTTTATGTCGACGTTGTCTTTTCTCTAACTTTAACAATTAGTAACAGAAATATTGTAGAACTCTGTTAATGTAGAAACAGTAAGTTGATGTAATATAATCTGCTACTGCAGTCACAATCACAAGACTTCAGCTAAAATCCTAGAAAATAATTGCAGCAACAAGATAAGTTAAAAATATAAAATAAAATCACAGTTGAACATTTTCCTTAAACTGTTCAGCCCGACAGTAGAGTTTGATTTTTATGTTGTGAAACAAGAAGTGCTGCAGTAGTTTTATGTCTGTCAGTGATCTAAACATCTATAAAGGAAATACAACTACTTACTACAATTGAGATTAGAAATGTGGCCTAGTTTTACGGCTGTAAAATGACCAGGGCCACGAGATAGTTGGCAGAGTTATTTTTGGAATTGGGAGAAGTCAAAATCTCTCTCTCTCTCTCTACTGTAATTTTCCCCTCCTCTTAATTCCTCTGCTTTCAGCCTCTCATCATCAGCAATTTCTTTTCATTTCACCACTCCACACCTTTTTTTTCTCCTCCCCCCCTCCCCTCGCTCTCTCCCTGCTCCTCGCTCACCTTGCCTCACAGCTCAGCTCGCCATCACTGCGCTCTGTTTCCTTGACATCGTCATGTTTTCATCATCACTCCTCAGCCCTCCCTGAGCAGCCTTCATTCTCCATTAATCTTCCCCGTCTCCCCCAGATTTCTGTCAGTCTTCCACCTCTGTTTACTCATTTCCACCCACTTATCACCCCTCAGCACTCTTGTGCTTCCTAAGTATTGCAGTCATATTTGCCCGATCCATTCTAATGCCTTCTTCTGCTCTCTCATCAAACTTTCCTCATTTTCTTCCTCTGCTGTCAGTTTCTCTTTCTGTCTTCGCCTCCCTTCACCTCCCACTCCTGTCTTCCTGTTTGGGTCTTTTTTCCCTCCTTACTGTATCTAGGGCATGGGGTGTTGAACTATCTCTCAAAGCCTCTGACAAGTGGATCAATCGTCTGTCCCCTGATAATAACCTACCATCTACCATCTGCACATTCCTGCCTGAACACTGTCTTCTACTGAGCACCTTTATTTTCTCAATCCCCTTGTGGTCGATTGATAGTTCAGAAAGGCATTTTCTGCAGACCAGTCTCCTGATAGTTACACTATTGCAGAAACGTAGCCTTTGCACCGTCTCATTATTGTGTATGTGATGCGTTGCGGCTCTTAGCAGATATCGATGGTGCGCCCATGATTCACATTTCTTAAACTCTGGCCTGAACTGTGCTGTCCTCTGTGTGCAGCAGCCATTTACTGTTGACCGCTGCTTGAAATGAGGAGAAATTAATTAGCCTGCTTGTCTTCCTGAGCTCCCAGATGATACCATTACTTTCATATCAAGACCAGATAAAAAAAAAGGAGCCTTTTCCCTCGGCCAGCAAGCAGATGCAGCTGCAAGGTTTTGTTCCAAAAACAGTGTGTCATGAAATATGGCAGTGTGCTGCTAACAGCATTAGCATTCTGGCTAACAAGGTCCAATTTGGTGCAGCACCAGACTTTCAGAATGGTAAATACTGCACCAACCAACAATGAATACAGCTTTGGAATTAGCGTACGGAGTTGTGGTTGATTTTTTATTTTTTTTTGCACTGAACGACGCCCAATTTAATTTCGCTTCTTCGATACTGGGAAACAGGAACTTTAACGTTGTATTCCATAACATTACAGCCCTGGTTGAGTTTGTTTGTTTGTTTGTTTGTTTGGTAACTGTTTAGCCAAGCAAAGTGACATTAGCCGTGTTTCTAAAGTGTATTTTTATGCATATTTCCAAGCATTGCGTTAGAAAAAATTAAAGGAAATGGCAAAATTTTAAGATTTCTTGGTTTTGCTAAGAAGTTGTGATACTCACTTAATGTCGTATTCGATTTTTTTATTTATTTTTTTAAACTAATGTGCTTTGTGAAAGATGGAAACATCTTTTTCAATAAAATCAGAACGTTAGCTGTTTCCATCTCTTTCATTGTCGTCACCTCTGGCGTTAGCCTATGACGGCTAACATGTCAGAATAATGACAACTTCTGCCCATTTTTCTCTCATAAATGGCTAAACTTTTATTTGTTTTATCTCCTTCTCTGAAGTTTTTTTAGCAGTCCATCTCTTTCTGCTGTATTTATTACAGCCATGTGTAGTGTAGCGTATACCGCCACCTTCTGACAACACTACACAGCCTAATTGTTTCACAAGTTTCACTACTTAAACAAACCAATTTCCTGTTTTCTTTTCTCTTTTTTTGGAGACATTTCAAAAGTTTGCTTGACAAGTGCATAATAAAAAGTACCGACGAGCAACCTGAGCAACAACAAGAACCCTGTTTTATCCGCAAATTACAAATTGACCACTGTATGGAAACATGACTGCTGTTTTAATAAACTTGTCAGTCAGTGATAATCCCAACGCTGAGATCTGATTTCATGCTGTGAACAAGTAGATTTCAGCAGCAGAACATTTTAAAGTTGGTTAACTTTCTGAGGAGTTGAAGGTGTGCAGCCTGTCGCTTGCAAAAATTGAAAAATGACCATTGTCTTGTGTTGCGGAAGCATTTATTTTACTTTTTTTCCAAGAATTGCAGACATCACTAACCACAGTGATGAGCACATTGTTGTGTTTCTGTGCTTTGCAATAACAGACTCCCTTTTTTTCACGAGCTGGATGGTTAAATATAAAGCACAAGTAGAAAATGTTGCGTTTGGTGATAACCTTTTTCAGCTCTGATACAGCTGTAAGGGAGTAAACAGTGAAGCTGACATCAAAACCACTGAGTTACACGCGTCCAATGAATTCCTCTGAATCCCTCGTGCATCATTAGAGAATCTGAATCCAGCTCAGGGATGGAGGACGGCACCACCACCAGTAAGTCTGACCATACAGGGAGATTATTAGTGAATGTAAGTACATTGAGCGGCTTTTGCTCGGAAAGTGCAGACCAGAAGTTGTGCTAAAAATGGGGTTTGATTACATGAAAAGCTTGAGGGTTTTACTTTAAAGTGAAACAGATCTCGACTGGCTGAGTCCAGTTTTCAGCACAAATGAGAATTTGTGGGTGGACTTCGCTCATAGTTCCCATGCAGAATGACAGAAGTTGGGTGGATTTTCAAAGAACAATCGGGGAAGAAATTGCTTCATCCAGATGTGTGAAGCTGATAGGGAGCTTTCTGCACAAACTCAGGGTTAAAGTTGCTCTCGGAGGTGCATCTGACTTGAAGAGAGCGAATCCATACAAGCATGTGTCTCCTATTTTCTATTTGTAATCAGTTTAGACCACTTTGAAAGAGTGTCTCTTATGTTAACCAGCGTAAAGACACATTAAATCTACTTTTATTCAGTGTTGATGAGACATTAAAACAACTAAAATGCTGAAATGATTCATCGCTTTATCATCGGAAGATTAATTTGCAGCTAGTTTTGCTCTTTTTTTGGTCATTTTTCAAGCTAAAAATACACAAGCTAGATCGTTGCAGCTGCTTTTCTTTGTGTTGTGATGCTATGAATGAATACATTTGGATCCGTTACCTGTATAAAATGAACCATCTGAATTAATCACGTTGGCCTCTGGGAAATCATTATTTCATTTCATGGACAAAAAGATTAATTGGGAAAACAATTGTCTTGATTAATCAATATTGAAAATAATTATTTGCAGCCATGAAAACATTAAAACCTTCCAAGGGGGTGATTATTTTTTATGGGCAGAGCATTGTGTGTGCAGACGCTGCTGAAACGAGCAGCGTGTGGGTGAATAATCACACGTACATCGACTGTTCTCTCGTCACTTGTCGCGTCTTTTGTATCCGCACATGCACGGCACGTACCGCGCATACGTTTTTCCTTCTTCTTTTTTCAGAGCGTTCGTCTCACATGCTCACTTATGTATACAAGCAGGGTTTACACTGACATATTTCCAGCAGCATGTCATCTCCGTCTCCAGACTTATTGCTTAACAGCGAGAGAGCGGAGCGGTGGAGGTGGAATCTCGTCTATATTCCCTGCCCATCCTTTATTGATGGCAGAGTAATCACAGGGCCAGAGTACAAATCCACTTACTCTCTGCATTGCCTTAAGTAATGGATTTATGAGTGCATTAAAGAGCCGTAGTCATCCAGAGGCCCCTGCCAGACTGTCTCTCTCCTTCATTCTCCTCCTGATCGACTGTCTTTGTGTCTCCGCCGGCCTCATCTGCCTCTGCTTTCCCAGCTCCTGTCATGTGAGATCTCTCTGTCTTCTGATTCTCAATTGTCTGCTCACTATTGGCTCATTTTCACTCTCTCCGTTCTGGGCCCGGCTTTAAGAGCTCTCATGCAACCCATCATTCCATTACCCTCTTTTTTTTTTCCTCGACTCCCACACCCGTTCTTCTCTTTATCCTATAGGGAGCGTTGATTGGGAAAAAAGAAGAAGTTCTCTCTCTCTCTCTTTATTTTTTCTTCTTTTTTCTTTCGCTGTGCAGACCAAATAACAAGGCCAAAGGAGAGATCGCTCTATAAGCGACTGGTGCTTTAGGGGCTGGAAATGAAGTCAGAACTGCAACTCAAGTGCCTGAACTAAACTAGCACAGAGCCGATGCGGTGGAAGAGGTGGCAGTGTGGAAAAACTGAATATCATCTGAGTTTTCTATCTTTGAGCTTTTTGCTGGGGAAGAGATGCAAATAGAAAAGTTGCTGCTGCAGTGCATCAGCTGCTTCTTTCGCTCGCTTGTTTCTTCTTGCCGCTGCTCCTGTTCTCCTTTTTTTTTTTTTTCTTCCCTCCCTTCTGTCCTCCTAATTACGCTCAGTGTGCAGTGACACATCTGTACTATACATCCCATGAGGAGCTTGTCTCCTCGTGTGCACGTCAACCGTTTCTCTCAGGCAGACGGCAAGGTGCTTCACACAGGTGGCTGCCGTTAAAATTTTAACAACGGTAGGGTTTTGACCAGAGATGAATCTTTGGGTTGTCTGATTGGTATTAAAATCTCGGGAACATGAAGTGAAAGAGCAGCTATCGTATAATCACGCCATCAAAGGAGGGAGTGTATTAAGAGAGGCAGACACAGATTAAAAGGCTTCCAGTCAGTCAGCTAAAAATAGTCCGCTGTGATCCAGCAATTGTCAGAAGTTCTTAAAATCAGTCAAATGAGGTTAGTATTTTTCTTCTCCTGACTAAATGCTGTAAAATTATTCTCCTGCTCACCATACGCATCGTCTTTCGCACCCTCTCCCCCGTTTATCCACGACATCGTCCCCACAGAGTCCTCAGAAGGAGTGTCCCTCCAGCTGGGCAACTCCAAAGACTTCATCCTCAGCCTGGATGTCAAGTTCGTCTCCAACGGCAGCGTGTCGGTGACCCTGGAAACCACCGAGAAGGGCGCGCCCTTCACCATCCACTACGTGACCAACACGCAGCTCATCGCCTTCAAAGACCGAGAAATCACGTACGGTGTCGGGTCGCGAACCGCGTGGAGCACCCTGACCCGAGACCTGATCACCGACCTCAGGAAGGGCGTCGGACTGTCCAACACCAAGGCTGTGAAGGCCACAAAGGTTGGTTCAACGCTCTGTGATGAAACACCTGAGATCCAACAGAGAGCTGAAACAAATTGTTTGAATAGATATTTTTTTATTAGTTGGCAGTTTTAGCTTCTCAAATGGAATGATTTGCTGCTTTTTTTTTCCACATTATGCTGCGATACCCTGAATATTTTGGAGTTCAATGCAAAACAAGTCATTTGAAGACTTCACTTTTGGCTTTAAAAAAACCATAACAGATCTTTTAGACTATTTTCTGACATTTTACAGACAAGAAAGCATTAAGAATATAAGCTATTGGATTAACTGTAGCTCTAAACTGGACTGTGTTTAATCAGTCGTAATGTGTGTTTCACATCTTGAAGCTGTATTTCAATTAGTTGCTGTTTTTTTGTAGTTGTTTTTTCAGCATTATTTTCAACAGATTTTTGTCAGCGTCATCATTACCATTTTGTGCCACGTTATCATTATGACTAATGAATTAATCAGAATCACACACAGATCATGAACAATATTAAGTTAAAGGTCCCTTATTGAGCCTCTTTTGAGCAAATTAAAAAAAAATCTCACATGTCCCCATAGTGTGTCTTTCAGTTTTTCAACTCAAACTCCTGTGAAAATGGTTTATTTCACCATGACTGGTAACCTCTGGTGGTAGAACTCTTCTAAATGTGCTGTTTTGCTCTAAAACCCCCGAGCTGCTGCTGCTCCCGCCCCCTCAGGAAGGAAACCCTGTCAGTCACAGTTTAGAGCTGGAAAGCTGTTGGTTAGTTGAATGTGAGGCAGCACCTGACTGGCTTATAGAGCTGGAAAGGTATTGAGTTGTGTGGGGTTTGAGGAGTGGCAGAAGTAGAATCAGCTTTTGTTTTACATAAAATAACCACAAAACACAATGAAAATGGATTTTCACCACGTGGGACCATTAAAGCCAAATTCCACTCATTCATTATCTTGCCTGCTCTCCGTCTGCTCTATTCCCAGATCATGCCCAGACGGGTGGTGCGGTTAGTCCTACACGGGCGTGGCTTCGTCGACAACGTCACCATCTCCACCACTGCCCACATGGCTGCCTTCTTCGCCGCCAGCGAATGGCTGCTGCGCAACCAGGACGAGCGAGGCGGCTGGCCCATCATGGTCACCCGTAAACTGGGCGAAGGCTTCCGGCCCCTGGAGCCCGGCTGGTACTCGGCCATGGCTCAGGGTCAGGCCATGTCCACGCTGGTGAGAGCCTACCTGCTCACCAAGGACCAGGCTTACCTCAACGCTGCCCTAAAGGCAGTAGGACCCTACAAGGTGCCTTCAGCGCAGCACGGGGTCAAAGCCGTGTTCATGAACAAATACGACTGGTATGAGGAGTACCCCACCACTCCCAGCTCCTTTGTCCTCAACGGCTTCATCTACTCCCTGCTGGGACTCTACGACTTGACTGAGACAGCCGGAGAGAAGCTTGGCCGGGAGGCCGGGCAGCTGTTCAGCCGCGGCATGGAGTCCCTGAAAGCCATGCTGCCGCTCTTTGACACGGGGTCCGGGAGCATCTATGACCTTCGCCACTTCATGTTGGGCACGGCGCCCAACTTGGCACGCTGGGACTATCACACCACGCACATTAACCAGCTACAGCTGCTGGCATCCATAGACAGCTCTCCCATCTTCAAGGATGTGGTCAAGCGCTGGAAAAACTACTTAAAAGGGATCCGTGCCAAGCACAACTAGACTAAACTATAACCCACAAATGTAGTATACAGCTGAGATGAAAAGAGGATCAATATATTCTGTGTGAGAGCGACTGGCTGGGTGGTTGAATGAAAGGCGGGTGCTCATGTTGCGTGTCTGTGTGCATCCCAGTTCTGGTTGAGGTTCACAATCTGAAGGATGGGTTCAGTCAGCTGCAGCTCTCAGTACTAAAACTTTCTCGTGTGCTCTGTTGCAGCTTTTATATTTTCTGCAACATCGACTGTAGCTCCCCTCTCCTGTTTCTTTTCCTTGAGCTAGTGTTTGTAATTATGCACAGACCTAGTTTCAGAGTGTGTGTGTGTGTGTGTTTGCTTTTAGGATGTGTGTGTGTGTGTGTGTGTGTGTGTATTGTTTAAAATAACAATATATGACGTTAGAGGAAGATGAAGCTCCTTGAATCACATGACCGACGTTCGTTAAAGCATCCGCCACACTTCTCGTTTCTAATTGTATTTTTTTACCTTCACATCTCAGATTTGCAAAAGTTTATTAAAGCGACTAAACTGTAAATAACAGAATATATTATAAATTATTTGAAGGAGAATGTTGCCAAAAAAATAAATCCTATCAATATAAAAATCATTATTTCTCCACTGCAACATTTTTAATCTGAAAACCTTCGAAACTCAAACAAGTGAAACTATGAGGAGGAAGTTTTCAGATGTTCCAGGTTTAATCTGTTAGTTGAGGTACATTTATTTGGTTATTATCTTTTTTTTTTTTTGATAGAAAAGCTGAAGAATGGAATCCTTGATGCTTCCAAATCTTTATTTTCTGAAGCTCTTTTTCTCTAAAATGCAGATAAATAATAACAGATAATGAAACTCTTTTATTTGTTCTTTCATAAATCAGCTGTCTGTGAAGCAGCTTCGAGGAATAAACAACCATATTTAACATGCTGCAACAACGGGAACGTTTCCGTTGCGTTCCCTGAGATAAACCCATCAGGCCCGCAACAGTCGTAAAAAAAAAAATCCTAATTAGTAATTTATCATAATTAGCTGTCGGTGCTGAAACCTCTGTTGTGTTTTTATTTACAGACTGTTGACAAAGTAAAGGAAAACCAACACGAAGCGTCGTAGTGAGGTGTCTGTAGGAGAACCTTCACCGTTCCTTGACATCGACTCTCCAAGTCTCTACTGGAGATGCTCTCTAAAAGATATTTGTTTATTTAGTGTTTTTGTGATGGTGCTGGAGAGTGCTGTAAATCTCCTGTAAGAGTTCAACTGGGCTGAGATGTGGAGACAGTGAAGGCCGTGATATTCGGATCACACCGTTTTTATTCTCAAACCTTTCAGTGACCCCTTGTACCCCCCCACCTACCCCCCACTGGGTCCATAATGTGTTTTAATACATATTTGGATGCATCTTAATGGCAAAATTCCAACAAAACTTCCTACATTTTTCCAAAAACAAAATTCTTTTTTTTCTCCTTGCTGACGGTTTTCCTGTAATCCGTCAGCTCTCTGTATACGTGATGGTCAGTTTGACGCCACCGCTCTTAGCTGCTTTTGACTTACTTGGTGACAACATTTCTGTGCTGTTGTAAAGCCAGTTTACAAAAAAGTAGTTTTGCATCAGTTTGGCTCAGAGATCCCAGCTGAGTCAGTTTAACGGCTCATCATAAATCACTCATCTGTGAGGAGTTCACAAACCTCACATCTTTTCATCGACACAGTTTAGAAAAAAAAAAAAATGCTTTATTGACCTTTTTCCATAAGCCTGTTGGCAGCATTTACAACTTAAACAAGAGACTTTGAGTGTAAAAGAACCATTTGTGGCTGACTATTTACATTTAGATGTGTATGGATTAATGTGCACAGTCTCTGATAATAGGATGAGCTGCGTTCAGCTGAGTGGAGCCCAAGAGAGGTCACGTTAAGGGTTTTGGGGACAGGATTCAACAATGGGAATAACTTTGCTGATGAGTTTGTCTTTGCTAAATCTTCAAATGTTTATTTCCTTCAGTTTTAGCACTAACTGATTCATTTTCATGCCCCACTTTTTAATCTATCATCAGGAAAACCCTTCTTCTGCAACTCATACCTAAAACAAACAAATCATTTTAGGTTTAGGTGCTGTGAGCTGTCTGCGTTGTGAGTTTGAATAGATGGTTGTGGTCAGCAGCTTCGTCTCCCTGCAGCTTCAATTCATAACATTTAAACAGACGGCAGCAGCAGCAGCGCTAAAGCAGGAGCTAAATTCCAGACTAACATAAAGAGGCTGTCAGTCCCCGCAGGCTCTCGTCGCTCCTCTCGGCTGTCGCGAGTGCACGAACTCAGCGTTTTTAATGCGAGCGCTGCCCTGTTGACCGCCGAACGAGGAGAAAGAGGCTCGCCAAGACACTAACAATTCACCCGGCTAATAGGCTGGAGAGGCTGCACAGGAGCGCCGGCGCTAGTCACGGATGAGTCAGCATTCACTGGCATCGCACTCACAAACAAAAGTGGAGCCCTCAGCATCCATGAGGCTTTCATCGATCTACCTTAAAGATTATTAATGGGAAGCGGGAGACTCGGGCTGTTTTTGTTCTGAAGGTGAAGGTGTCGGCTGGCGAAGCTCTCGAGTCGTCGTGGCGCGAGATAATAGGACCGAATCGGAGAAGCATGCGATTCATTTCGGACTGAGAAAAGTCCCGCTGCTCTGTTCCAAAAATTGTTATTAATTCCTCAGAGTGCATCTTCCAGACCGCACAGCTTCATCTGAGAATTTAAGTCAGAACATTATGAGGAAACAGTGGAATAATATTCTGTCCATTATACAAAAAAACCCCTAAAACATGCACATGTAATCTGGATTATTCACACCAGAAAGCATTTTGCTCCAAACGTAGCCCCTCTAATGTAATAATATGACCACTTATTCTCAAAACGACTCCAAAAAATCATTTAATTATTAAAAAATTGCAGCTTTTCCAGTACAATTTGAATATTTATCTTTTTTTTTTATTATCATTAAGAGTATTATTCATCTCAAAACATTGTTACTTTCCACTCAGTCTGATTTTTAAGAGGTTTACACTGATTATTTTTTACTAATGAGAAAATACTTTCCCCTGTAGAAGAGGTTGGAGTGGTACACTTGTTCAATCTGAGTTTTTTCTTTTTGTTTTCTTTCTTTCTTTTCTCGCTGACCCTTGTTTTGTTCATTTCCTCGCCGGCGTTCTCTTCCCATGAACACTTGCATAATTTATACTTTGCCATTTGGAGTGGAGTAGAAGTGCGTCGTCGTTTAAAAGGGAACATTCAGGAATGGAAGGATTCGCGTGTGAATAACGAGCTCCATGTTGTTTATACCAAAGTCATTGATTTGATTAGTATATTTGAATTTGTATATTTTTGTGCAAACCGACTTCCATTCAGCATTTACAGTCTCCGCCGAGACGTCATGGAGAGACACTGCCTTTTTGAGAAATGCTAGTTTTTTCAAATGTAGGTTGAATAGATTATAGCAAAAAGCAAGATATGTAAAACGTGCTTATTGTAAAAGGGGGTGTGTGCAACTAGAGATTAGCGTTTAGTCAGCTACTGTTTTAAAGGGAAATGAGCCAATAGCTGCAAATTCTCCTTGAAAGTATGTTTGTTTTTTTCTCTTTTTGAGTGTGTTGGAATCATCTGCAGAGGATTAAGATGAGTTTTGCTCAATAGACAAAAAGCACAACTGCCGTTTATTGTTTATTTTGGTTGTATTTTTTCTTTTTTTGGGATTACTTTTTGTTTTCTCTTTTTCTTTCCAGGACAATGTGCAACGCCTTCATTAAGAAAGCTGCTATTGTTGTTCACTGTGTAATAGGTATGAGAGCTTCTTTTTCCCTCATTTCAGTGGTATTTCTCTTGTCTTTCCACTATCTGTTAAAACACTTCAACAAATGACCGCCGAGGTCAAATGTGATTTATGCAATAAAATGTTTACTGGGGTCGTGACACCACGAGAGACCCAGAGTGGTTGTACAGACTTTGCAATCGAAGCACAATGTGCAAAATGCTACCATTTTTTAGTCCAAGGAAGAGAGGTGTTTATATACAGAGTAAATCTTTGTGCTTTAAAATTTTGCTTTTTAAAGGTGTAAAAAATAAAAGCATTTTTCTTAAACTTCTCGTCTGAACCTTACTTCTGTCTAACAACTGTCTCCAACAGAGACGTATGACTGGTTGATTGTTCTTCATGTCCTCTGTAGAGCTGGTA